TAACCTTTTATATTTATCTATATTCTTTTAAATTTTATAAATTAGAATATATAGGATATATATCTGTTTATATATCTCTTTAACAAAAAAATGACAAAAATCTGTTAACCATCCCAATTTCAAAACCATCGAAGCAACATACCTCCAAACCACATCTGCACCATGATCCCCAATACGGCAGCCGCACCAACACCCAGCTAGGCTCCACCCCATCCAACCTTCGCAGCACTACCATAGCCTCAAAACTGCCCACCTCCATGGGTTTACCCATCTTCCTTCGCTGTACACAATCTCTTTCGTTGCCGAAATTGGATCGATATCATACACTGTCATGAGACAAAGGGAAAGGGGAGGAGTTGAAGAGAAGGTAGCAGTCATCGATGCCACCGTGAGGGAGGCGTGTGGGAGGCGTGTGGTTGTGCACTTGTCGTGGTTATAATAGTGAGAATGGGGTGGGGGTTTTCTGATTTTTTTTTTCTTTTCTTTTTCTACTATTTTAGTTTTTAATGAAAAAAAATCTAATGCTTACGTGACAAAATACAATTGGTTATTGTTTAGGTCCTTACGATCATTCTCTAAAAGGATATAATTGTCAATGGAATTTTCACATTTAAGTAGGGTGGGGAAATAAGAAAATAGGATGGGTTTAACACTCCTCTAATTAAAAGAGATTAAGCTGCCATGTTGAGCCAGCTAGTCAAGCTCTTTGAAGTAAATTGCCAGCGAAAGAGAGGAGAATTATTTTACCACAGGGACCTAGCTACAAGCTAGGTATGTATGGGATGGGTGTCACCATACCGGATTTGGATCCTCTCCTGAGCCCAAGGAGAGGATCCTCCTGACCAAAGGACTTGGATCGTTGGATGAAAATTCAACGGTTATAATTATTATAACTTTAAAGTGACATCTTGTTTGTAGTCATTAGATTTTCATCCAACGACCCAAGTTATTTGGTTAGGAGGATCCTCTCTTTGGGCTCAGGAGAGGATCCAAGTCCCACCATACCAAAAACTCTCGTACAAATGATTATATTAAAAAATGAAAATTAACGAAAAATTAAAAAAAAACTTGAAAAATGATAAATAAATGTGTAGTAAATGGTATCAGGGAAATGTAAAAATGTGATTTTTCATTAAAAGTGAACAGTACATGAAGCGTTTCGTTAAAACTTCCTATTAAAAATTTTGGTATTAAAAAATTTATTACCATTACCAAACCATATTAAATTTAAAATTTAGCCCAAATCTGATTTTTATTCATTTTTTAGATTAACTGGATTTTACAATTTACACCTCAAGGTATGAGCGTCAATTGCAAATTGAATCACGAGGTTTTAATTTTTACATTTTACACCACGTGGTTTATGAATTGCACAATTTAATTTTTCTATAAACTTCATTGTCTAATTTGACATTACTTGCTAATATACATAGACTTAGTCCACATTTAAAGCACTCTTTTAATCTTTTTATAAAATTGACAATCAATATATCTTAAAATATGGATGTAATATATGTCGCATTAGGATCTAGTGTTTGTTAAATGATGAAATTAGCAAAAAAAAATAAATTAAACTAATGCATTTCAGAAACCACGTATTTTACTTACGAATTTGAACGAATTCGAGTTTGGAGCCTTATCTGCTTCATTTCACAGCTACACAGCTAAATAATAATCAAATCGGGATTTTTATAGCAGATCCCTTTGACTTTACACCTTTGCTTACTTGTCAACACCATCTCCCATACATACACCATCGGAAGATTCAGAACGATTTTTCAAAGCTTGAAAAAGGACCAAGTCGGTCCAATCTTTATTATTTTACTTTCATTGTTTTAATTTCTAACATTGTGAGATAGATATGCTAAAATTACGAAGGGTTAGTACTAGATACACCAACATATTGAGCTCACCCCGTCATTATATATTTTTGATAGTTTTATACAAACGATAAAATAATATACATTAAATTACAAGAGAGAATTATAATATGGGATACCAAATACAATGATAAATGTTCTTAACTAATTAAGCTACAAATCACTTGCTTTTAGATGATTATTTGATTAGTAGATTCACTTCATAATTTAATCAATCATATATATTTTTAAGTATAAAACTTAATTATTCCAATAAATAAATGATTTCTAAATTGATAACTAGCATAATCATGTCTACATGTCTAAATTGAATCACGGGTTCTCACTTATAATAATAAACTAGTATATGCCCACACATAAAGTGTGTGTGAAATTTTTTATTTTTGTTTAAAAATTTGAAGGAGAGAGGAAAAGAGTGAGAGAGAAGGTGGAAGTGGGGAGAAAGGGAGAGAGGGAGAGAGTTATAATGTTTTTTAAATTTTTAAAAAATTAGAGATGTTAAAATCACCTGTAGGTGATGCTTAAACAAAAAAAGAAAAACAAAATTTTATTTTGTGAAATTATGTTATTACCCTTAACATTTTCATGGTGATAGAAAACTAAATAGTCTTGTCACCCTCTTTTGGTTAACGAAGAAGGTTTTATTAATATGTAGTTTAGGAAACCAAAAGAAAGTTCTATTAATATGTAGGTGATGTTTAAACAAAAAAAAGCAAAATTTTATTTTTGTGAAATTACGTTATTACCCTTAACTTTTTCGTGGTGATAGAAAACTAAATAGTTTTTTCACTCTCTTTTGGTTAACGAAGATGATTCTATTAATATGTAGTTTAGGAAATCAAAAGAAAATTCTATTAATATGTAGTTTCGATATGTTTAGTTAGCTTTTGGGGACAGTTCAATTGGTGCGTGGTGGATATTGAGTTAGGATTAGGGTTAGGTCACCAAACTAAACCTAGCCGTTGGCTCCGATGCTTCTGCTTTATGAAAGCAAATTTTCAAGGCCATGAAAGGACGCAAAACCTGTTATGTGGTGGCAACATGAATTTTTTGGCTTCTTTACCCTAAAAAGTCTTTGAAGATGATGTTTTTGGTGCATGTAGTTTTCAATTGCGACAATTTTACAGAGAGGAAAGAAATAAGTGCAAGAAGAAAAAAAGCATGTTGATTGATCGGTGGTTTGGGTTGGGGGATAACATTTTTGTCCGAAATAAATATGGGGGATTTGGCGCTATACTTCTTTGGGAAGTTGGATATTCAATTTTGCTTTTGAAAAAAAAGCACTTATCAGTCAATTGGGGTCCAGAAAAGCTAAAAACCAAAGCTCAGAAAGTCAGTTCTTTGTATGTTCATTTGGAATAGCTATGGATGTAACCCGGGAAAAATTGCAAACCCTATACGACTCTTGATTTTGATTGAATCCGACGTGCCCAATTTATTTATTTATTTTTAAATTTTACTATTATTAGTGGTATCAAAACATGGTGAGAGATTCATTGTATGAATGATAAGTGAGAAAAATGAGAGATTCCTTATTACCTCTTAATGATTTCATATTAAGCTTGATCAAAATTATATGATTAGTAAGGTATGCGATAACGTTAGGTTGGATGTGCTTTTATATTTTATTTTATCTATATTATAATTTTTTATTTAAAAAATTCAAGAGTTTTTAAAAGCACCGCCAACAAAAAAAACACTCTTTATTATCTAAAAACACTTTTAGCCCCTAAAAGCACGGCCAAAATTCCTTAAACAAAAGATTACAAATTAATTATGCATTTTTATAATGGTGAAATTAATAAAAGTGAGCATTATTGTTTCTAAAGATTGTTTTTGAAGCTGAGCTGGGTGAAAAGGGCCTCAGCCACAAATGAGTATCCACATTGTCATAATCAGGCTATGTAGGCCTTCTCAAAGTTGAGGTAGCCCATAGGCCTAGTGAAGTTCAGCTTTTCCAATTGTAAACTAACTTTCGTAATTGGTCAAAAAGCCCAAGCCCGTCTCTTTGTGTTTTTTACTGATCCAAAATTAGTACTTCTCTTTCGAATGTTGGAATATCTCTCTCCTGTAAATTAAAAATGATGAAGAAGGTCTTGCCTTTATAATTCCAAAACTATTAATATTTGAAAACGAGTATGGTCGAGGAATTCAAACCCTAAAAATAAGAAATTGGATCGAATCTCTGTTGGAATATCTCTCGCCTGTAAATTAAAAATGATGAAGAAGGTTTTGCCTTTACAATTCCAAAATTATTAATATTTGAAAACGCGTATAATCGAGGAATTCAAACCCTAAAAATAAGAAATAGAATTGAATATTTGTTTTTGTCCTACTACGTTCTACGTAACAATAAATGAACAAATAACACGTTGGTTAAAGAATCCACCAAATAATAAAGATTTGGTAACATGCCGACTAAAAAGTGTCATTCCCCCTTTTTTTGGTGTAATTTTCATATAAATGAAGTTCCTGTGTTGCCTTCACAAAGTTGATCAAGAGGTCGCTTCACACCAAAAAAAAAAAAAAAAAAAGTTAAAAAGTGATCCAACTTCCTGCTTTTCCTTTTAGGGCTTCGATCATCTGCCCTGCCCATCCCTGACCTTTTCTATCCTTTTTTATTTCTGTGATCACGGTTAAATCACGTCAACATTTTATATTAATTTTTTATAGAAATAATAAAACAAAAAACAATGAAAATATAAAATATGGACGTGGCTTAACCGTGACCACATAATATAAGAAGGGATGAAAATGGTATGGGATGGGAAGTGCAGACAATCCAAGTCCTTCCTTTTAACTAAATATCCCAATAATGCCGTTGTTTTCTTTCTTCCCAACAAAGGAAATACTGACAGCTCGATCAACAAGTGCTTTTCTTCTTCACACCTTCGAATACATGTGAGAATCTGATGTGACCACAATTTTGTCATGATCTCTCAACTTTTCACATGCATGGTTGGTTTTGTTTCTCGTGAAGATACAGCTCTTTAGGTCAAACCCTAGTTTTTGAATTCCTATATTTTTTACAGTAAGAAATAAAGAAAATTAATAATGCCTCAATTTGCAGAAACAATTTGTTAATTTCACAACGAAACCCTACGATGAGTCTATGAATACTTTTTTTTTTTGCACCATTTTTCTCACCATATGCTGATTTCCAGGCTTCCAGTTCCAGTATATAATTCAAAAGTAAATAACAATAAGAACTCACCACATAAAGGTTTCTAACTGAACTGCATAATACTGCATTTAAGCCAAAACAACCAAAGCAGAGTCCTTCATATCAGAAAAAGCAGAAAAGACCTATTAGCTTTCAACACTTCATGAAAAATCTTGCTTATTCAGGAGCCTTCTCTCTCTCTCTCTCTCTCTCTCTCTCTCTCTCTCTCTCTCTCTCTCTCTCTCTCACATGTACTCATAGTCCACATACAATTTCTCTCATCCTCTGCAGGAAAACAGAAAGCAATATAAATTACAAATAGAACCTACAAGTCCATAAATCTTCACACTCAAAATTTTAAAGTTCTAAGAACCTCAACAAGTTCATCATCATGCCACCAAACAGAGAAAACCAGATGGGTTCATACTCTAAGGCCAACACTGTCCACAAGCCACCAATACTCTCAATGGGAAGTCTCCAAAGAACCATATCTGACATCTCAGCTCAACTAAGCAGCAGCAGCAGCAAAGAAGCCCTTGATGATGACATTCATCTTCCAACTATATCCGAGGTTGAGGATGCCAAGTGTGAGTGCTGTGGCATGTCTGAGGAGTGCACGAATGAGTACATAGATCGCGTGCGCAGCCAGTTTTCGGGGAAGTTAATTTGCGGGTTGTGTGCTGAGGCTGTGAAGGAAGAGATGGACAAGAATGGAGGTAAACGAGAAGAGGCTGTAAATGAGCATATGAGTGCTTGTGAAAAGTTCAATAGGCTTGGTAGGGCATACCCCGTTTTGTACCAAGCTGAGGCCATCAAAGAGATCTTCAAAAAGAGTTCAACAGTTAGGGCAAAATCCATAAGTCCTAGAGATAAGAGTGTTCGAAAGGGTAACGGGGGTATTGCAAGGAGCTCCAGTTGTATTCCCGCAATCAACCGAGAAGAACTCAGCCCTAAATCTTAAACTCTAATTAAACTCTAAATTGTAAACCTTTGTTATTTGAAAGGACTTTTTTAGTTTTTTTCTCTATGTAACACAACAAGTATCCATCATAGTTAGCGTCGAAGGGGGTACTTTCCATTTGCAATAAATGTAACAATCTAATGCTAATCTTACTTTGATCGATTAGTTTTTTATTACACAGATATTACAATTTCAATCTACATTAAGGGAAGGAAGATGATTTGAACAAGAGACTCAGTCGGTTAAACAATTCAACACTTGCTAATGTTGTTGATTAGTTAGCCCTGGCACATAAATAAAGTTTATGCCAAATTTCTATTCCTTTCTTTATACATGTACTGGGTCGTATAAGATGAGCCTAGCTATGAAGGAATATATAAACGCCTTGTATAAAATTGAGCTTAGGGGTGAATTTTTTAGCATATTATTGTACTATACTGATTTTGTATCAATTGGATCAGGATCCTCTTCTGAGCAAAGGGTGACCTGACCAAGCTCATCGGGCCATTGAAATTTTATTCAAATGCTACAATTATTATAACTTTTAGAGGGACCCCCTGTTTGTAGCCGTTGGATAAAATTTCAACGGTCCAATGGGCTTGGTCAGGAAGACCCTCACCCTTTACTCAGGGGAGGATCCTGATCCGTATCAATCAGCAATAGTATGATAATTGTACAGAATCAATCATAAATGTGAATGGTATCCAAAAATGTTTTGCTAGAGTTAAACAGTAATTTTAACATAAAAAAAAAAAACCAACTGGCACACTAAGGGAAGAACTCATTTTACCTTCTTATACGTTGCCTCGAGGTATTTTCTTATAATCATTTTAATCTAGTAAATTTGGATTAATAAGTAATAAATGTTTGACAAAGAATAAATAAAGAGGTTGCTGCCATATAATTGAAATTGAACTAAATATGTTTTCAGATTTTGGCCAAAATAAAATGGCCTATTATTAAAGTGGTATCGTTACTACATTACTATACCAACTGAACTATTTAGTATTACTGAAAATTTGACACGACAATGATAATAGATTTTGAAATATCAAAAATTTGGTTTGGAGGATTGGTACGGTACCAAATCCAGCCACAATCTCGTTTGTCTTTTGGTGGAAAATACTGTCTCGTTTACTTGAGCATATAAGTCATGGCAACTTTGACCTTTTTAAATATGTAACCAATATTTCATTTTGGGTAAACAATAATTTGTTATAGTATTGGAGTATGAGATTTAAGGGGTTGATAGGAATAATGTTATTTATACCATATTTTTATATCATATTTCTATAACATCTTAGGTGGCATCTGATGTGAACAGCCACATTATTTGAAAAATTTGCAAAACCCAAGGAAAAGAAGGAGAAAAACTTTTCGTATACCACGATCATCATTTAATTAATTAATTTTTCTTAATTATTAATTTACTAAATAATAAACTAAATTTAAAAATATAATTAATTCAAATGATGTGACAGTTCACATCGTATAAAAATGTGGTATAAAAATATGGTTTGAATAACATTACTCGAGTTTTTAGAGAAAAAAAAAAAATCTATTTGTGAACTGTGATTCGTCCTAAAACTGCCCCAGGTCAGTCGTGATGAAGCCCAGTTGTGATCAAGTCCCGTCATCAACGGTAAAGGGAAACGTTTGAAAGCAAATTTACATGTCATAACCTTTATGTAATTTGGAGTGAATAAATTAAAAAAGAAAAAGAAAAAAAGAAAAGGAGTTAATCGTACCACGATTCAATGTCAAATATGTGATGTAAACTCTACGTTTGTTGAAGATTAATCATGGGAATGTTGAATTTTATCTCATTAGTTAAACGTTTATCGAATATGTCTCATATGCTATATCATATATCATTACTCATTAAAGGTATGCTTATGTAACCGTAATCAAAATAAAAAAGAGAAATTGAATTTCGATTTTAAAATATTCTTGTGTTTATCAAATAATAAAGAATAAAAAAATAATGAGATCCATGTAAATTTTGGAATTGAATTCCTTATTTGGAGGAATTCAACTCCCTAGACATAGGTGGAAATCTAATTCCGAGGATGCGTAGAATCTGGAATGGAACCTTTTGTCAATTATACCCTCACTTGAATTTTTAAACTCCAAGTTTACCCTCCATTACCCGAACAAACCTACACCACGCCTGCCCAGCGCCACTCCTACCTCTCCCTGACCACCGCGGCCACCCTTATCATTCCTACACAGGCCCAGCGCCGCAGCCACCAATTCATGATGTAAAATATGTAATTGTTTGTTCTCATTCAAGGCGATGGCCTGGATTTTTTTTTTCTTTCTAAGGAAAACTAACGAAAAGTCTAAATTTTTTTTAGTTTTAATAAAAAATGATAAATAAAGGTGTAGTGAATAGTATCAGGGAAATGTAAAAATGTGATTTTTCGTTGAAAGTGAATAGTACTGTGAGTGTTTCGTTAAAACTCATTCTTTCTATACTTTATCTTATTTGTTTATTTATTTATTTAAATATATATATATATATATATATATATATATATAATTAGGTCTACGTTTATGTTGTTTTGGAAATTAAAATTTAGTAACTAGCCCATAAATGAATTTCTTTAGGGCATGGGCAGCTTGGTAATTAAACTAGTTTTAATACCGATTCAAGAGTGTTTGGTAAACAACCTGTACAGAATCAACATTATTTCCATTCTGATTCCAGACAATTTAGTAAACAACTTTTATATGAATCTGATTCTGATTCCTCCTCAATTCAATTCCCTCTATTTTGATTACGGATTAGTAAACATGCCCCAAAAGTGCAACCATTGTGTACCATAACAAACTAAAGCTCACAACCACAAACATGTTGGTAAGAAAGGGTAATGCTAGGGAGCCTATGCTTTTAAACTAAGTTTATAAACTAAATAATGTGTCACCAATACGAAATAAACACGTTAATCAACACTTAAGTAATAATCTAACCATTAACATCCACATTATTTATTTTACAAAATTTAGTTTAGAAATTTATTCTCTCTAACATTATCAGTAGGAAATTATGATGGTGGCATGGTGTGTTGTTTACTTTTTAAATTGTCCATTCCAATAACCCCCCGCAACTAAAGATTTTATCAAGCATTAATCTTTTTCCACCGATGGGCCATTCTTCACGTCTTTGTTATCTAGCTAGATAGTTTTGTTGGCAGTGTAAGATGGAGGGGGACCGTCCTATGGTTTATCATCCACGGTTTTTGCATGCATTTTCCTCTTCTTTTTGGTTTATCTACCCGTGCACTTGGTCATTTTAAAAGACCTAATCACTTCTTTTATGGGTTTATAAGAGACGTATATAAATTTCAGCATGAGTGTGAAATAATTGCGTAATGTTATTAATTTAAGTATTATAATATGAATAGACGATAATATTAAAATTTATAGTCCTACGTATAGCATATATTAACAAATAAATACAAAATTATCATATAACTTAATTGCTTATCACGTACCAGTGTGACACGTGATCACACAAATACATATTCATATAACAAGTTTTGGTCGATGCACAGTACGAAAATAAACCATTTAAAACCCAAATTAACTAGCTCCATAAAGACCACGTACAAACTTATGGAATTCTCAAAGATGTGCATGGTTCTTCAATTCCTCGCGAGTGGAAACTTGACTACAAGCAATTAATTACAGTACACATATAATATCAGCTAAGCTTATGATTGTACTTTACATGTATGCATGCAAGAACCCCGGCCGCCGACTGAACAACGTGCAACACGAGCCCTAGGTAGCCAATTAACTAGTGGTGCATGTTGCACTTATAAATTAATACTTTGATAACAATGCGTGCAATTTGCACAACATTGGCATGAAAAAGCAACACTTATATGTAGAATGCATAGATATTTTGGTCTGTAAAGTGGCCTTTCAGCATGCAACTGACGAAAACTTCTCGAAGCTTATGTATATCCACATTAACTTTAAAATATATTACATTATCGCATTCAACCTTTGAAACGACTGTCAATACACAAGAAAACCCAACCCACACACCCTCGTTTCGTATAAATACCCAAGTGATATGTTCCGATCTTGTACTTCAGTTCAACATAGCCAACTATTACTTCTCTCAACAAATATATGATCATATCATCAAGTCTCTGAGCAGTTGACATGGTAATGTTGTCTTTAACTATACTCATACAATATATTGCTTGCTTTTAACTTTTTACATCAAGGGTGATGTTATTCAGACACACAAAATTGATACGTTTGTTGAACACATGGTTTATTATATCATTGAGCTAATCTCTCTCTTTCATGTCCATGCATGCGTTCGCGTAAACATGCATGCATACATACAGTCGCAGACCGAGCAAAGGCTTCGAAAGGCATTCTCCGATGTTTCAGTTGAAATAAGCAAGTATAAGAAGGAACTGGAATTTAGTAGCAACGATTTTATGCTTGCTACAATTGATGAAGTGAAGCAGGCAGAGTGTGAATGCTGTGGGCTGAAGGAGGAGTGCACACAAGGCTATATCAACGAAGTTGAGGGCTCCTTTTCAGGTAAATGGGTTTGTGGGCTCTGTTCAGTGGCTGTCAAAGATAATATGACGGGGGCTCCAAATGGCACTCCCATGCAAGAAGTCGTGAGCTCGCACAGGGACTTTTGCCAGAAGTACAAGAGCACTAGGCTCAACCCTAAGCTCTCATTGACCTCTGCCCTGAGGGACATAGCAAAAAGAAGCTCTGAGAGTAGAAATCCGAACAACAGCATGCCAATGCTTGGTCGAAGAAACAGCTGCGGTCCAAGAATTGATTTCAAGCAATATATGTAACTATTGGTATGATGAGTACACTACTTGGTCGGACTTCAATATATATATACACGCACGCGCGCACACACACACACATACATATATTTGTTTTATAATCGTTAGTATTCAATCCATCTATTTCAATTTATTTGGTCTGAGAAAGAGCAAATTCAGAGAGATGAGAAATCGATCAAGAGGCTGTAAAATGTAACTGAACTGCTTCAAGTTTTCATTCATTGACAAAGGGAGCAGAATGTGGAGTAGTTGAGCTGTTTAACGCAACAGGCTTACCTATGACAAATCAGCCGCATCAACTACTAACCCAATCAATAAAACACAAATTGAACCAATAGCTAAACCTAACTCAATTACATAAATGGACTCCTTTTATTGTCAATTGATTTCATGGTGTATATATAGAACTCAACTTCATCTATGATATTATAGCAAGTTAGTCTATGTATGAACACCCAACAATCACATTAATGATTATGTGTTTAGTTTGAATATTGCCACACATAAAATAGCGTATAAGACC